ATTAATTGCGCCTAATTATTTTTTCCACACAACCATACCTAACATTGCCTAACATTGCCTAACTTTGACATTGACTAACATTGCCTAACATTGCCTAACTTTGACATTGATTCTCAACATTCTTCTATTTGCTCATTATGTGCCTTTGTCTAATCACAGATAAGAAGAGGTCGATATGTCTCTAATTCATCCCAAAGGCCTTTAAGTTTTGTAAAATAAGTCGAGACCGTCGTGGAGCCTTGTGAGAGAGAAGTGATTGACTTCTGAATTTGATTTTTGGTTCATTCTTCTATGAAAACTGATCTTTTAAGTTTTATCTAAAGTTTCATTACGTAAGCCAAAACACGAAAATATGAAAAGGTCATGAAATCTATGACATACTTAAGAATATCCAAAAGATCTTTGTATATTTACAAATCCAAGCAAAAATAAAAGTCCAAGTTTCATAAAATTCGTCGACATCTGATTTTTCTACAATCTTGTGAGATGAATCCAAGATCTCTGTCACAAATAATGGAGTTACAAGGTCAATGTCAGCAAGATGGAAAAGCTTTCAAATAATGGAGTTACAAGGTCACTGTCTAGAATTGATGTGGTCTACATACGCACTATTCGGCCTTTACGTTGTTACAAGCTTTCAACTAATCACTTTAACACCCTGCTTGTAACAAGCCCACGCTATTAGGCTCAGCCATAGCTTTATATGTGAAAAGTTAACATGCTGATCAACACATATCATGATATCATGAACAAATTGCAGACTGAGGTACGAGGAATAGTCGGTAACGGAGCACACATAACAGAAGATGATTTGGTAGAAATGCACTACTCTAAGGCGGTGGTTAAGGAGACTCTTCGCAGTGAAAATAGGTGGTTAGAAGATGTGGAAATAGTTGGTTACAAAATCAAATCCGAGACAGAAGTGGTGATCTATGCATGGCAAATAGCAAGAGATCCCAAGCTATACAAAAAACCAGAGGAGTTCGAGCCAGAAAGGTTCCTGAATGGGGGGATAGATTATAAAGGGAATGACTTTCAGTTGATTCCGTTTGGAGCTGGTAGGACGGTCTGCCCGGAAATTCAGTTCGCCATAGCTGTTAATGAGATTGCCTTAACAAGTAACGTGCACAAGTTCCATTGGGAATTGCCTGGTGGAGCGAGCGGGGAGGATTTACACACGGCTGAATCTACTTATGGGAAAAACTGCCTGGTGGAGCGAGGGGGGAGGATTAACTGCTTAAAAGTTAAGTGCACTGCTAATAATTGAACGCAAATTCTTGTAAATTTTCGACATCAAGTAATGAGCAGAGACAGAGTCAAATCTTGTGTGCGCATGTGCGCTTGTGACATAAACATAAACATTATGTCTCCATAAAAATCAGGGTGTGATATCCACACAGCTCTTTTTACTTCTCACACATCCCGAGTTAATTTTTATCCTTTGATCTTCTTCAATTCATCCGATTCGATGGCCGAAAATTGGAAGGGATGTGAGAAGTAAAAAGAGTGTATGGATATTACACCCCTAAAAAAATATCATCAGAGGTGGTATTTTTCTACATTTAAGCTTGATGATATCACCTTCAGACACGAGTTTACATCAAATAGCTTTTCTCTGATCAAACTACAGGATTCGTATGCGTTCCATTTTTAGTTGGAAGGCTGGGCGTGTGAAGATGTCGATGATATCTGCTGCGGAGGATGACGTCTGTTTTATCTAAAGTTTCATTACGTAAGCAAAAACATGAAGATATGTAAAGATCATGAAATCTGTGAGACTGTGACCTACTTAAGAATATCCAAAAGATCTTTGTATATTTACAAATCCAAGCAAAAATAAAAGTCCAAGTTTCATAAAATTCATCGACATCTGATTTTTCTACAATCTTGTGAGATGAATCCAAGATCTCTGTCACAAATAATGGAGTTACAAGGTCAATGTCAGCAAGTAGGAAAAGCTTTCAAGTTGTCTAGAATTGATGTGGTCTACATACGCACTATTCGGCCTTTACGTTGTTTGCTTATGGGATGATCCTATTCCGCACGATACCAAGACATAAGATCTGTATTTAAACAACAAACAGACCCAATTTCTTTAAGTTTCCTAATTAAAACACTTCAGAAAGAAGAATTAAGATGCTAAGACATCTCTTACAAATGCTACAACTGCTTGGAACCTCGGACTTGTTGCAACCGGTTTCCTTCGCGCTTGTGGCCATTTTCCTAATCCTCCTATACAAATGGTCCTCTGCCAGTGCAACCACCGCCAACAACTCCTTACCGCCATCTCCACCAAAGTTCCCCATCATTGGAAACTTTCACCAATTAGGCTTGCACCCACATCGCTCACTTCTAGCCTTATCTAAAAGCCATGGCCCTCTTATGCTTCTCCACTTCGGAAGTGTCCCAGTCCTTGTTGTCTCTTCGGCCGAGGCTGCCCGTGAGATCATGAAAACCCATGAAATCGCATTTTCCGACCGACCCAAGTCCACCATCTATGAGAAGCTTGCCTACAACTACAAAGACATCGCAACAGCCCCTTATGGTGAGTACTGGAGGCAGATGAAAAGTATATGTGTTTTAAATCTTTTGAGCAACAAAAGGGTTCGCTCTTTTCGTGCTGTGAGAGAAGAGGAAACCCAGCTCATGATCAACAAAATAAAGGACTCTTGTTCTATATTATCCTCTTCCTCCTCATCATCATCAGTTCTGAATTTAAGCGAAATGTTTGTGACGCTTACCAACGATGTGATATGTAGAGTGGCTCTAGGGAGGAAGTACAGTGGTGAAGAAGGTGGGAAGATGTCTAAGGAGATTATGAAGGAGTTCGTGGAGTTATTGGGAACTATGGATATCGGGGACTATATCCCATGGCTTTCTTGGTTGACCCGTGTCAATGGTTTGCATGCCAAGATAGACAAGGTTGCTAAGCAATTTGACGACTTTCTAGAGAGTGTGGTTCAAGAGCATAGCGATCAGACGTCCAAAAGTGGAAATGATGAACAAGTTCATGTTGAGAACGAGGAACAAAAGGATTTCGTGGATATTTTGCTTGGGATTCAGGAAGGAAGCTTGGCTGGTTTTTCTCTTGATAGAGTTGGCATAAAGGCTCTCATCTTAGTAAGTCTCTCTATTTGCATCTGATTTGCACATGAATGTGACATTTACCTATAATTGGAACCAGGGCCGGCCCTGAGAATTTGGGGACCCTAGGCGAGCCTTTGAAGTGGGGCCCTAAAATTCTCTGATCTCCGGTTCTTTGTATATTGATTTGTATAAAAAAGAATTTGCTAAATACATAAAAAGCTCTATTTTCACATCAAATATCATTAAAAATTAATATGAAAAGAAGATAAATATACAAAGATTATTTAAACATTACACGATTCACGTTTTTAGACACAAATGTACTAAATGTTTGCAGTCAAGAGTTTAAGATTGAGAGTGAAGAATAATAAAACTTAATGATCAAGAGAGTAAATAACAATAAAACTTGATTAACGAGTATAATAAATTCAACGCCAATTGTTTCTCTTGTGTTTTTTTCCTTGTAAAATCAACATCACACTAACGAATTGAATATTAAAATAATCCATCGAATAAAAAGTTATTGAAAAGAAAAATATAAAATTCAAAGTTTTGATTATCTTGTACAATCTTTAAGGCCATATGATGGTTTAAACATTCAATAGAAATGGAAAGAATGGGAAGTTGGTTTAAACATTTGATAAAAATGGACATAATGAGAAGTTGAAAGAAAAAAGATTGCAAAGAGACTTGAGTTTTATAACTTTATATGCATTTGGACAGATGGATTGGGAGTTGGACAGATGAATTGACAGTAAATTTGAAAAATAAGAAAAATCTAGTGACTAAAAAGCAACTTCATGTTTCGAACTCAACACCCAAAAAAAAAAAATGAAGCCAACATTTCCACTGCACTAACAAATGAATTATGATATTTATTACATTTTTTGTATTTATATGTTCATTACAAGATATAAATTTTTTTTGGGGCCCTTCCAAAGTGGGGGCCCTAGGTGGGCGCCTACTTGGGCTACCCTCAGGGCCGACCCTGATTGGAACTAGAGAGTTTACTATAACTGCTTGTAAACGTCGACAAAATGATGGAACAAAAAATGAGCTACTGAATCACAAGACTTTTGGATGATTTTACCTGATCAACCTAACTTTGTTCATTGTTCATGTAGGATATGTTTATTGCAGGCACTCATACCACATATGCAGTGCTAGAGTGGGCAATGACTGAGCTTTTGAGGCATCCGAGGATCATGAGCAAATTGCAGAATGAGGTACGGGGAATAGTCGGAAACATAACAGACATAATTACAGAGGATGATTTGGTAGGCATGCACTACTTGAAGGCAGTGATCAAGGAGACTCTTCGCTTACATACTCCAGCTCCATTACTAGTTCCCAGGGTGTCGACACAAGATGTGAAAATAAATGATTACGACATTAAGGCCAAGACACTTGTTATGATCAACGCGTGGGGAATCGGAAGAGATCCTGAAACGTATGAAAACCCAGAGGAGTACGAGCCAGAAAGGTTCTTGAATAACGGTCTAGACTATAAAGGGAATGACTTCCAGTTCATTCCATTTGGAGCTGGCAGGAGGATCTGCCCGGGAATTCAGTTTGCAATATCTATCGATGAGATTGTTCTGGCGAATATCGTGCACAAGTTCAACTGGGCATTGCCCGGTGGAGCAAGTGGCGAGGGTTTTGACATGACTGAATCAAGTGGCACAACTGTAATCCTAAAGTATCCTCTCAAAGCTGTTGCTCTTCCATATTTAGGTTGAAAGATAGAGGCTACATTGTCTATGTACGCGTATAGGCCTTTGTATTTTATGTCTAACCTAAGGCTCTAAGACTTCTACCGTCACCTATTATGTTCGCTTTGTCTGTCGCTATTGCCAAAATAACGTAGCACATGCAGTGCCAAAGTCTTGTGTGTGCTTTCACCCAAAAAAAAAGATAGGCTTTCACCCAAAAAAAAAAAAAAGGTATTATGTGTGTGAATATATGTTTTTATTTTTTTATTTTTTTTAACAATTGATATTATCTACACTAAAGGAATAGGGGAGTAGACCAAGCCTCACATTGGACGAGCCATAATAATATGGTTCAAATTCGCCTGTGGCGAGAATCGAACCTAAGACTTTTCACTTACAAGTGAAGAGGAATACCACCAGACCGTAGTATTAAGTGGCGTGTAAATGAAAGAATTTAAGAAACCACTTACAGTTAATGTTGGAGAGGGAAAGCTCCCTTGTTGATACAAATTGACTGCACGTAGGGTGGGACGAAAATCCATTATTCCGAACCCTAATCGTCGTTTCTGGTGCACCCATTGTCAAAAGTAGAAAACCAGAAAGGACAAATAATGGACTATAAGAGCATTGTCATATTGCTTTATTAATTTGTCATGATGTTGAATTTTACAGACAAAACCAAATGTATTTATTCTGATGTGGCTATATATCGATGAACGTTGAATCGTTCAAATCTCGCAGTATCGATGAATGTTGAATACTTTGTTTTCGTATTACTATTCCATAAGGATAATGATCCTCGAGTTTCTTTTTGTGGAGCTCAATAATAGTTCTGCATGTTTCTCTATCTGTCACTTATTTTCAGGAGCACAGCATGTATCATCATCCGTTACTACACTACCAACCAGAAAAGAAGATGAGGATTTGTCTGGCATATTTCTGTTAGTAAGACAAGGTGGAAAATGGTACAAAGAAATTGAGGTGGCTTCCTTGCTGATTGACGATTATTAGATGTTGGATTTTTGGATCGGTGGGTCCGTTGGACCCCACTTTAAAGACACCGATAATGTTCCTAACTTTACCACCTGCCCAATTCGTTAGGTATGGAGTTTTACCACAAAAGGCCTCGGTATTAGTTAGAGCAGGTAATCATTTTTAAAGCCACCTTTGTTGACTTCCCCCATTGAAGTGGGACTGCTAACACACCCCCTCACGTGTAACCCCATTTAGTGGTTCACAAGTGGAGATTCACACATCAACAATTGAAACTCAGAAGTCGGCTCCAATAAAGTCCAGACTTGTTTTCAATCTTTTCAAGAAGTGACTCTTAAGAACTCAAAGGCCGAATCTATGTTAAGAGTCCAAGCTTGTTTCCAAACCCACACTTTCTGGTGACAATCCTTTAGCTTGCATGGGCCTGTAACCGTGGACTTTGATACCATATTGAATTTTTTTTTTAGATCAACGAGCCCAGGGGGCCCACTCTAACGACATCAATATTGTCCCAAACTTTACCACTTGCCAAATCCGTCAAGTTTGTTGTTTTACCACAAAAGGCCTATGTATTAGTTAAAGTAAGGTAACCATATTTAAAGCCACCCTTGTTGACTTCCCCCACTGATGTGTGAAGACAAACGGCCACACTCTTTCCACGTCACCCCTTTGTGTTGTCCACGTGTTAGGCTTGAAAATTTGTCATCGTGTTGGGAATGAGTCCCATATTGATGGAATGAGGGACTTGCATGGGCTTATAAGAGGTTGGGCTACTTCTCATATTGCTAATTGATTTTATGGTGGAATCCCAACTTTCTTCATTAGATACCACCGAAAGCAAGTCTCAGTCTATTGAAATTGATAACGACAACTGGGGGCGCCGTACCAGAAACTCTGATGCACTGAATTTTGGTTTCCAATGGCTTTTCTTCAATTGCTAAAGGAACCATCTTTGCTTCTTGCATTCAGTTTCCTCATATTGTTGCTTAAGTTTATCTTTGAGGATAAGTCATGGAAAAGAAAACTCAAACTTCCACCAAGCCCTCTGAAGCTACCTGTCGTTGGTAACCTTCACCAGCTCGGAAATAACCCCTCACCTATCTCTTCGTGGATTGGCAGAGAAGTATGGCCATGTTAGAGAAGAAGTTGCTCGTCTGGTTTGTTGGGTTGCAGATGTTGGGGGAAAAACTTAGAGTACACAACTTTAACACAAGTGTTGGAGAGACAACACAAGTAAACAAATTACTTGTATTACACACACAAAATATTACAACACTCACAAAGACACAACTTTAGAAGTAATGACACTCACTCACTTTATAGAGACACACTCTAGATCGCTCACACTCCTACAAGACTATTCTTGCTTCTTGCTAATCCCTTGTCTTGAGTCTTGTTTAAATTGTTTAGTTTTATTTTTATTTTTATTTTTATTTTTATTTTTTATTTTATTTTATTTTATTTATTTATTTTATTTTATTTTATTTTTTATTTTATTTATTTTATTTTTTATAATTACCCTGTTTTGTTTACTTATGATATTTGATTTAGTTTTATTTCTTTGATATCAGGTACTAAAAGAAGTAAGACATGGCAATTGCTAATCTTCAAGCTCAAATGGCAATTCTTACTTCTCAATTGTCACAGTACATCGAAAGGACCACAATACAAAGCACCCCTACATTCGATGTGTCCTATACGCAAGGATATCAAGCAGATCAACATCCACAAAGGAGTTGGGAGAGTTATCATGATCATAATCAATCAATGAACAACTTGTTTTCCAACACGTATAATTCAGATTGGAGGGATCATTCAAACACTATGTGGTGGGAACCTCAACCAGTTCAACACGAAGGATATTGGCAGCCATATAATGAGTTCTATTCAAGCCCCTGCTCAGCCACCACAACCTCATACACAATATACCCAACCAAACTCAGGTTCGTCAATAAATTATGAACAAATTCTTAATGAATTAAATTCTTTGGCGCAGGGCTCACAAAATCAAGCCAAGGAGACTCAACAAGGAGAATATTGGCAGCCATATGAGGAGTTCTATACAACGCCTATGCAGCCACCACAACCTGCCCCGCAACAATTCCAATCAAATTCAGGTTCGTCAATAGATTGTGCTCAAATTCTTGATGTACTAACTTCTTTGACGCAGGAATCACAAAATCAAGCCCAAGTGATGAGCGAATTGAAGAATCAAATGGGAGAGATCGCGGAATTCATGGGGCAAATGCAAGAACAAAGTGAAGTAACTGACTCAACTGTTGAAATTATTGAAGCTATCAACTTGGAAAGTGGCATAGAGGTTGGAGATGAACCCAAGATGTCCAAACCAAGCCAAAACATGGATGAACAGTTACTGCTCGAAGAAGAGGAAGATAACAAGGCCACGGTAAAGGAAGAACCACCATTGCTGCAGCCTACCCTAGCCCCAACACCCTTACCGCAGCCCCATATGCCCTCTATGCAGTCCACTACAACCAAGGTAAGCCCAAATTCAATTCGTCCTGACCCCGTTCCACTAAATGTCTTTATTCCTTGCAGGATCATGCAATCCAAGGAAGAAGAGGGTGAGAAAGGCATCTTTGAAACCTTTCCAAAGAATCAAGAGGAAGAAGTGGATGGGGAATGTCTAGAATGCATCAAAGAGGATGTGCTTGAGACAACCATTCCTAAAGAAGTTGAATTTTATGACATGGGACAAGTCCCAACCATCACATTCAATCTGGCCAAGTCCAATATCCCTGAAACTTTCAAAAATGTGGTGTTTGTCATTGAGTTCTTGTCGGACAAAGCAAGTAAGCCATCTTCTCCAATTTCGATTTTAGTATATACTAACTTGTTGATTTTGATGATTCAGGCACCTACACTAGAATTTAAACCATTGCCGGATCACGTCAAGTATCACCGTCCATTCAAGGATCAATTCCATGCTATGGGCCCTATCCAAGTTTAGAAGGAAGTATCGTCCGGCTGCAAGACGTTAAAGAAAGCGCTTCTTGGGAGGCAACCCATGTATTCAAAAAAAGGAAGATCTATGAATCGCTCTACAATCAGTTTTGCGTTTCTAAAAACCTTCACTTTTCTGCATTTTTATTTTGCCATGATTGTCATTTTTTTATTTTTGTTTATTTAATTATTTTTGGGTGTGGGTTTATTTTTGAAACATTGATAGATATGCAAGATATTCTTACATTCTTTTTCATGAAAAAAAAAAAGGGAACATTAAGCAAGAAATTACAAGAGGGAGCCTTCACAAAGGCTGATTGGAGGAGTTGCAGTAGTCGGCGGAGTTGCAGTAGTCGGCGGAGTCTCAGCAGTCGGTGGGGCCACGGAAGGAGGAGGTATCGGAGGTTGATCAGTTGGAGCTTCACTACGCGGTGCCGCCCCAGAAGACGAAGGCAGATGCTGTTGGAACAAACCCACAAACCTCCGGTGATCAAGTAAAATCTGACCATTATTTTCCTGCAGCTGGTCAATTTTCCTCTTCATGTTTGTGGCATAATTGTGTGCAAGCTTGTGCAATTGTTTATTTTCATGCATGAGTCCTCTAATCTCCTCTTTGAGACTCTGTATTTCAGCCACCAACGATTCAACGTGACGGGTTCGAGCAAATAGGCGTTGGGCCATGTTGGACACAGAACCCGCACACTGCACGCTAAGAGCCAGAGACTCCTTAACCGCCAATTCATCAGACCGTCTAGCGAGTAGTCTATTATCTCTGGGGGTGACAAGGTTTCGGGCCACCACCGCAGCAGTCATGTCATTTTTCATCACCGAATCCCCAATGGTGAGAGGACCAGTAGGGGATATGAGGGATGGGCGCCATATGTTGTCTGGAGAATGAGGGGCTGCTTCTTCACTAAGGTTCAAGTCAAAACGACGGTCGGAAGGGCCAGACATTTTTCAGAGGTGTTAAAGAAAGAGGAGATCGGACAAGTCAAGATCGTAGAAGTGCAAAACGGGAGTTTTTACAGGCAGAAATTCAAGAGTGCTTTGAACGTCCTGCATACCTCTATAAAAATCAGCATGCGATGGGATTTCAGAGATCGAGGAGGTGAGCTCAGAAATCGAAGAAGCCATTCGGAGATCGAAGAGGCGCCAGCTTTCTCAAAAGTTGGGCTTGCTCACAAACCACCAATTCCAGATACCGAAGAGTGTCAACTGTCTCAGCCTCGTCAGCATCCATCACA